CTGGCCTAGGGGAAAATTTTAATGGGGTTTAAAGCAATTTTTAAATTAACTTGACCAAATTACTAATATTTGTTTTTACTTATGTTTTTAAATTTGTAGTTTTTGGGGATTAGTGTTTTATCTGGTTGTTAGCCGCCCTGAGTCCGTAAGGAGAAGGGCGGGATATAAATTAAATTAATAAATAATAAATAAATAAATATAATTTTTTTTTTTAATTTTTATCCACACGTCTAATAGTGCCCGTCTAATATGGTGATTCTGAAAGTACTGATGAGCCTTATATTTCCCGTCCCACATTATAGCATGCCACCCTATTTGCAGACAATACGTGTTCTTGATGGGATACCACCAAGAAAGCATCCTGATAATGAGGTGCTGCTTTATCTCTTGGTGGGGTGGGTGTGCCATTTTAGTTTAACTACCTTGGGAGGTAGTTAAGGCATTCATCCGCACAGTGGGACTGTGACAGCTGGAACCTTTAACCAACATGGATATTAAGAGTGGCAGTACTATGAACTGCAGCTCCAGCATACTTGGAGAACAGATTTAGAAAAAAATCAACTATAAACTCAACTCATTAAGTCAGAACTCAACTGATTTTGCATGTAATTTGAATTTCATTGCCATGGGGGACATTTGATCCTTTTGCCCACTGAGTGGCCACTTCCTTATCTGGTCCCAGAGATCTTGGCAGACACAGCACGTAGCCATCAAGGAGCATCAAAATCACACTCTTCCCTCTAATTTTGCTCCATTTTCAAGGTTCTCTTGGGTTTGGTTTCTCAAAATAAAACAAGGCCTTCCATTTTTTTCCAAGTAGCCACAGAATGAAGGCTTTTTGTATAAACTAATACAAAGTAAGATGCAGTAAGAAAAAAAGAAATCAAAGAGAAAGCTAAAAGTGCAAGAAGGGGGAGATACAAAGAAGTAGCTTCCAAACTTTACAATAGTTTAAAGTGCAATGATAAATTTATCTCTTACTCTATAGTTACAACATAATTCTTTTTATATTCTGTTTAATTATCAAAATCATAAGTCATACATTTATTTTTTTCTGTTTCATATAAAAGGCTAGAAGAGGTTTCAATTTACCAATAAACACAGATATTGTTTTTTTTTAATCGAAGTCAATACAGCCATCTCAGCAAGTTCAGTCACCTTCAGCAACCTCCATTGTGGAGAATGCCAAATCTTTCCATCTTTGGGTGTACAATAATCTTGCTTGTTTTCTTATCATGTACAAAAACTAAAAAAAAAAGAATTTGGAGATGATCAGACTCTAGGAATGAATTCCGGGAGTCGAAGTCCATCTTAAAAATTGCACAAAGGTTGGGAAACCCTGTTTTAGAGGCACCATCTCTCTGCTTGCAGCTAGCCTTTCTCAACCTGATGCCCACCAATTTTGTTGAATATTAATCAGTAAAACATTTTGACTTTGTATCTTCTGAGTGCAAAACAGAACATTGATGTTTTGATCTTACTAGAAGTGTTCTGAGCTTGAAACGGCCTGGACAATTCTAAAATGGTCAGTAGAGCATAATTCTGGCAAAGTTGAAACAAGCTGCTTCAAACTCAAAACAGCTATCTCAGGTTCAAAATGTTTTAAATTTCAAATGGTTGTGTGCACTTGACAGTTTCAATTTTGGTTTGCATAGATAATTTGTAAAACGAGACAAATTGCAGATATTCCATTACAAAAAATACTTATCAACAGAGCATTCTCCCCAGATTGTTAAGAGATACTGACACTGGTTCTCATCTGCCATATTTGCAAAGCCACCAGTTTGGAAGCATCTATTATTAAATTAATGGGGGGAAAGGTACAATAGACCAGTGGTTCTCAACCTTTTTAATGCCGCGACCCCCAACCGGTCGTAAGTTGAGGACTAAACCGGTCGTAAGTCGAGGACTAAACCGGTCGTAAGTCGAGGACTACCCAACCAGTCGTACGTCGAGGACTTTCCCTGCCTGGGAGTGCCGCGCATGCGTGGTTCCGCCCCCTGCGCCGGCCGAGGCGTAGCTGGCAAGCGGCAGAGATGGAGCAGGCCGACCACCAGCTGGCCCAGCCCAAGGGAGGTAAGGCACCCGCCGGAAAAGGGGAAAAAAATGGCGGACAGCCTTGCTTGGCGACCCCCGTGAAATGGTCGATCGACCCCAAATGGGGTCGCGACCCATAGGT